GCCTGGTATCCAAATTACATAAACCTAAGGAGGCGGTACATGAGCGAGTGACCTGGTTTTTTAATTTCCCACTGAGCACATTATCCATAGCTGCCCCCCCCCAAATGGTCTTGCGTGTGCATTCAATTCAGATTTACACTACTACTAATTGGCAACGCATTTGCTTGCTAAATGTTCAAACAGACAACTCACATATATCTTACTGTTGAAGTTTTACCCCTATCATTCAGCAGGATTTGTCAAGCGATTGTTGGTTTAATCGGGAAATATGCTCATAAAGAAGTATGAATTCAAGTTAGCGAAGAAATTTCCTGTGAAAAGAAATTTCTACGCTTTTTTGAATTGCTTTTTACCCATGATAAATCATTGTTAATGGTTATCTCTTCGTGTGTGAAATGCTCTTAGATCTTCATCTACCCTATCCGGCCAACCAGTCAAAATATAAGAACGCACCTTCGACAGTTCAGCGTCACTCCATGTTTCCGACTTTATCACTGTTGCTGTCACCGGCGAATCACCCAACCAAGATGGTACTTGCGCCAGTTCTCTAGAAATGGAGTGTGGCTAGGAACTTCTCGTAATGGAAGTTGGTTGAGAGCATCGGCCCACTAATTCTCCTTCTAGGAAGATATTTTCATTGATAGTGATAGCCAGCGAGTAGTAGAGCCTAGGGGCGATGCTACCTGGGGTATCGCTTTGGTTTCACCCAGAATCCCCACTAATGGCTTGTGGTCTGTGTGTATTTCAAATCTCTACCCGCATGGGTATTGGTGAAATGGTACAAACCCAAACACGACCGTTAAATCATCGTTGCCAATTTGGGTATAATTGCGTTCGGCCTGCGATAGGGTCCGAGAGGCAAATGGAACTGGTTTGTTTATTCCGCTCGCATCAGCGTGGCTCCGACACCGTACGGTGGTGCATCACATGTCAGCGTCATGTACTTTTCGGGGCCAATGTGGGCCAAAACCCTTGGACTGGTCAATACACTCTCAGCCTGACGAGAAGCCAATTCCTCCGTCTCGGGCCACACCCACTGAGCGCTCTTGCTTAACAAACGATGAGAGGGGTGCAGTAGTCTGGCTGATTGTAGAACAGATGTTTGTATGGTGATTGTACATCCCCAAGAATGGCTACCAACCATGTTGATTTCTCGGTTGTGGTGCCTCGAGAATGGATCGAATTTTCTACTCAATCGTCCTCAACAACTTTTAATCTAGTATTCTTAATGACTCCTCACCGTCTACATATTATCCTAGCAAGCACGGTCGAAATTTAAATTTTCATATTCTCGTGCTTCATCATATCACAACTCTATCCTACCTTATCTATCACGCTTACTAGTCGACGCATCCAGAATGAAACACGCTTGCTTGAAGCTGCATCATTTTCCTCTTGTTGTTGTTAACTTCTACTTTCTCATTTATGTTTTGTAGTATTATCTATGCAGTGTTCGTGTGAATTGCTGAAAATGCGCTCATATAGGTGTATAAATCTTCAGTTGACGTGAGTTGACAATCCCATTTCACTGATGAGAAAATTCAAATAATAGATGTGGTGTATCAAGAATACGCATTTTTCACGTTTTAGCCTTAAGCCATTCTCCTTCTGGCGGTTCAGAACAACGCGCAGATTTTGTCGGTGTTCATCACTCGTTGACCACGTAACCAGGATGTCGTCTAGGTACAAGCAAAGTTTAAGTAACCCTGTTCTGATATGCTCTATCGTTCGCTAGATGGTGACCAGGATCGAGTGGTTGCCCGATGGTTGCCTGTTATATTTGAACGAATCCCGGTGGGCAGTGATTTTAGTTAACCTTTTAGCGTTTTCATGTTGTTCAAGTTGCTGATGAGCGGGTGCGAGGTCGACGGATTAGAAATATCTTCTGTACCAGCTACCATTAAGCTGATACCGTTTTTAGCAATGACTGGGGAGATCGCCGGGGAACGTGACTCGTTGCACCTCAAGTGCGCAAACTTGTGTTAAATTTATATGATTCTTGACGCAGTACCACCCGAATAAAAGTGGCTCGATTGTCCCAATAACGGATGATGGTTGAGTTGATTGGCTATATCTCCTGCAAAGTAGGAATATCGGAAGACGTAAGTTTTGGAATAACGCCGTCATTTCGCACATGCCTTTCAATCACATGCATACAAGCAATTAAGGTCTCAAAACAAGGTGATATGTTGATTAGTCGTCGACCGAAGGTAAATTGGTGTGGTTCGTGCTAACTTGATAGTTTCGATGCCAGTCATTATTGCACGCAGAGCGGTGGTCGCCCTTGAACTATTTCGAACTGGTCGTCCCGCCTGAATTGAAGATTGATTATCAGGCGGAACTCGAGGTCGCTGCTCCCCCCCCCCCTCCACAGGCGAAAGAAGACCGGATCGGACGGGCAGAGGAACAGGGTTGTATTAACCAATCATGTCGTTTATTATAAAGGTAAGATCGAAAGTTCGTGAATGGTATGTAAATCATATATGGCAAACTCCAGAAGGCTCGACTTACGGCTAAACAAGTAGTGCCAACTTCGTGTTAATTAGTCGCTTCACCCGGTTGGCTATCTGTTCGCCCCAATCCATGCGGGCGAGTTTGAGTCGCTTGCCATGCCTTGCTCCGTAAGGACGATGGGAGCCTCGGTTGTTCGCTCAGAGTTTTCCTTCCTAACATATTCCTCTCATGATCTAAATCAGGCGGTCAGAGTTCATTAGCTGTCTGTTGTTTTCAGCTTCACTCACTGATACATTTTGTGGACCCGTGTATGATGCCACTTAAATCGCTACCAGGATGCTACAGAAAGCATTGTCTCTTTCAAATCCTAGGTCCATGCGATAAAACAATGCCACCCATCGACCAACTGGCCCCTTATCACAAGGTTTTGCAGGCAATGAAGCTGCAATAGGGACGAATACAATCGGAACCGCTCATGCACTTTTACCGTCAGTGAGATACCTGACGTTCCAAATCGAATTGGTGACTTTTGGGATGAATGTGATTTCGAGTTAATCTAATTTGCCCTCAAAGTTGAGTGCTTCGCTGGGACCGGAAACATGAGTAAAATGCGAACGCGCCTTGGAGTTTGAGGTGATTCCAGATAAAAGTTGCAGATCGACCGACAATCTTGTAATGGAGATGTGAAAGCTGTGGGCAGATTCAGCACATTCGTATCCTTCGGTGACGCGATTTGAACACATGCCCTAAGAGGTTGTGCTCCTTGCATAAGGAAGACGTTTATAAACGATTAGAAAAATCGATCACTTTAGCCGCAAAATGGTTTTCTAGATGTATTTCAGCGGATCCGAACCGGAAACAACAGATAGGTGGAGACAGCATCAGTGAGGTCTCACCCTTGGAATCGCGTTCGGCGTAAACTAGTATCTAAGGTCGCGTGAATTTTGACCAGTGGCATACGATAGACCTAAACTGGCACCGACAATGATCTCCTACCACGTGGTAAACGAGAACGTACTTGATCGTTTCACCTACGGAGACAAATAGAGTCCAATCAAGGGAACTTTTCTAATGGTTGAGCGGTGAGCAAACGGAAAAGTCAGTCTGAAACCGCATTATCGATAAAGTGTCACAACCGGATTTACGCCAGAAGCAGCAGCCGGTCCTGTAATGAGTGAGCTTTGACCAAAGCTAATTACTTGTGATGACTTTGGAGAGTCGCATAACCTTTGGTATCCGGTAGACGTCCGTTCGGGCGATCCTTTCATTCACTACGATTGTGATGAAGGTATACATGTCAAATAGGCGAACGTTGTCAGCAGAATTAGTTTTAGCTCTTTGCAAAGCTGCAGCCCTTTGTATACTACACTGCTGAAACGGAGAAGCTCATTCAATGATGCAATCCATCGACTCTGATAGATGCGCGACAACTCACAGGAACGGGTTAGAGAATATCGGCTTCGATTTTCCGGTGAATATAATGCAAATATGGTAAATACCACAAAAAATCGGGTTTCCACCATCCAGGTTCAGCTGCTTTTAACTACAATCACGGCGGAAAATAGCTTCATCAGTCCAAACCAGTATCGCTCAAAACCTGAGTGCAGTTTCGTAAACAATACCTCTATTAGGTACCATTGAGTATCGTTCCGTCTACATTTTGTGTTGAACGTAGTATTTTATTTTTAGTTAATACTTTTATTATTAATGTTATTTATATATTTATACCTAAAAGCCATAGAAGTCTGCACACCGCGAAAATCAAGGTTGGTAACAGGTGAAGTGATAACGAAAAGAAACAGCGAATTTTCATTTTCCCACATCCGTTTTCTCATCTTTGAGCGTCCCAAAGTGGAGGTTTACACAGATGTTCTCTGTATCCGTGTTATATCTCCAAGCGTTTCGACTTCTGAAGAATCACGGCACGAACAGTAGCTAGACAGGGAGTCAGTGTGATTTTACACATTTCCCCCATCCGTTAGGTCGAAAACCGCACGATTCCGACTAGTATATTTCTGCACAAGCAGATGTAGCGCTGCGAGGTATACGCCTGTATGACAAGGAGGTAGAGTGTGACCGAGACAAACAGTGGAAAAAGCGTAATAAATAGGAGACTGCATTTCCCAAACCACGAGGTCTAACTTCATCGTCGCGAACACAAAGTTGTCAGCGTGTATGGATGTTGTCATTCAAACACCCACTACAAAGAGCGGAAAGTCGACGCAAGTAGACTGTGCGAACCAATCAGTGACCTATAGAAAAGGAGAGAGAATCCGATGACACTACAAGTGGCTCACATTGGAAAACGGTGGCCAGGTTTTGGTGATGAGAAGAGATACTACCTTTCTAATGATAGCATTAACGGGAATACACCCCTGGAGTCGACAACGTCATATCCTGGTAGAAGCTGCGTGCTTATAAGAGCTAATGTTTCATATACTAATAAGATCGGACCGTATGATACCTACCCATTGCACTTGAGCGAAACCTTGCGAAAACCGTGTTGTATCACATCATAAGCTATGTATGTTATTTGCATAACTCACCTGACCATTCTTCATGCCAGCGAGCACTGTTTCCTTTGTTGGCGGGCCTCCGATGATTCGCATGTACTGAACAGCATCATCCAGGCTCCACTCGCGTTCCTTGACGCCCTGAATAGATGGAGAAGTACAAGATTGCATTGAATGACCAAAGTGCCGTCTCCCCAATGTAATGAATGTTATGTTCGGTAACCTCACGCGATGAGGTCTCGTGGCCGAGCTATACATAAGACTGTAATTCGACCTTGCAATTATTATGATCGGTTGCCAGCTGTAGGTCGGTTCCGTTAGAGTTTAGGAACCAACGGGTGGCAGATTGTGGGCAGACATCCAGCAGTTAACAAATGTATGTGAAACCATGCAAAAGCATTGGAGGGATTAGATCAGAGGATGATAGTACATATTTCGTACCATTGGATGGTCCGTGCATGGTTGTTTCTGATAAGGTACAAAATATTTGGAGGGTCCGTGGTTAAGGCGTTTGCTTCCCAATCGCTGCGCCCAGAGTTCGAGTCCTGTCTAGGCTTAGACACTTTGGTAGAATGCTAGCCGGCGTACAACCATTTGCGGCTGCATGACAAAACAAGAAAAAATATGGAACCCCAATTGCGTCGGTTAAGCAGCCAGAATTACCTCAGCACCCAAACTGAGGGGTGCTGAAAGCGCAGGAACAGGAGTTGACTAAGTTTACCAGCGAAGGCTACGGTCAATCACGTTCATGCACGTGAATGAGACGACTGAGATCTAGCAAAACTATTGTGGGTCGCATTTCGTAGACCCATCAGGTGCACCGTGAGCTATAAGGCTTAAAAACGCATTATTGTTGTGAGGCCATCGCAATGAGGCTGGATCTTACCGTTGTACGATGGTTTGCGGGCCTCAGCGATCCATGGAGCAATGCTGGATGGTGCTTTTTTTACACATTCAGAGCCACTCACACCAGATTTGTCAATGGTTAGAGGCCACATAAAATCAGCCTCCTGGTCCTACAGGACTCCTTTTAGCCCACTGCCAAACTCGCTGCCTTGCGGTCAGGTATTTGAACTAAGGGCTTTAGTTGAGAACACTAATCGTTCTCCTGTCTAGGCCTGGGCAACCTGATAGTATCCTGCCCACGCAATACTATGAGTCTATCCTCAAACAAGTTCCTAATTCTCTGGCCACCGCAGAGGATAATCAACGGTGTCCTATCTGTTGCATCGAGCAGGATGGATAGGAGTTTGGTTGCTACTGCTCAAGCCTTCCCGTCTTCTTATTCCCTCACTTACGTTTTTCACCCTTATCGTCCCATTCCAACTTCACTTTTATTCTCCCTGTTTTCAACCCTTCAATTCTTGGCCCTCCAACACCATGCTTTGATACTCGTTTGTCTTCTAGATTCAACTCACATGCAAACGCGGAGCGTCCTTCTAGCCCTATCAACAAGCCCATGTCTAACCAAGTGGTCAAGCCCAGTTCATCGGCTTCTATTTGGAGCCACCGATCCTCCCTCAGATTGGCATGCCTCAATGTTCGCACATTGTTACAGAGCAGTCAACAGGCAGTACCTTCTTAAACATTAGAGACCCCCTCGATCGATATCTGCTGCCTATCGGAAACCCACCTACAAGACCCGAGCTCTGTTCTCACTCTGCGATCCCCTTCCGGTAACCCTAGTAGTGCTTTCTCATTGCGCCTATCCGGAGACGATGCAGATTCGAGTACCGGTCAAGCCGGTGTTAGTATTGCGCTGAGTCCCCAGGCTGAAACTGCTCTGGTTGATTGGATTCCGATCGGTATACGGATGTGTGCCGTTCGACTGGCTGGCCCGTTCAAATCTGCAAAGTCAGGCGCCGCTAATAGGTGTCTGTTTATCATCGCTGACTAAGCACCACAAACAGTAACGAGGATTCCGTGGAAGACGGCTGCTATCGTCAACTAAACGAGCTCCTTCGCCACAGAAGAAGCACGGACACTGTGGTGATTGCTGGGGATCTGAACGATCAAGTTGGAAAATTGTCCACCGATGAGCTGCATCTGCGCGGCCAACATGGTATAGGCTCCCGTAATGATAACGGTGAGCGGTTACTTCATTTGTGTGAAGATGCTCGCTTTTTTCTTGCGAGCACTAACTTCCGACACAGCACCCTTCGAAAAGTAACATGGTGCTCACCAGCGTCGAACCAGCCATGGACGCAAATCGATTGCATCGCGATCGGTTAGCGCTGGAGAACGTGAGTCCAAAACAGTCGCTCGATTTGGAGCACTTGTGTGGACACTGACCATCCACTTGTATGTGCTGATCTGCGGGTGCGTTTTGGTGGACCCCCACGGCGACGTCGTGGGTGCATAGACACCAGCCAACTGGTAAAGCCAGCTGTTCTGAATGCCTATCAAAGTACGCTGTCATGCGAGCTGAGTAAGCGCTCACTAGATGCAACTGAAGCTCACTGGTCTCATATTCACCAGACCTTACTAACAGCAGGAAAATCCTCATGTGGTAAGTCTAATCGCCAACATAGACATTGGGTCTCTTCGCAGTCTCTGTTACTTATCGACGCTTGCCAGCACATTCCGGCTGGGAGCAAACACAGCGAGACTCGCAAAGACATCATGGTAAAACTCCGTGCTAGCCTGAAGAGAGACCGCGAATCTTGGTGGTCCCATCGTGAGTCAGAGATGAAAGTGGCCACTGCCCTTGGTAACCATCGGAAGATGTTCCGTCTGATAAGGGAAACGGGCAGCAGGAGACCTGGTGTTAATAATAATAACAATAAATAATGATGTGTCAGCTGTACGCCGTAACGGCGCTTCGCTGCCGCGCGACCACCACCAGTCGCGCGCGGGCTGTGTATACCGCAAGGACGCCCACCCCTACGCGGATTCAAACCGGTGACCTTACGGTTGCAATGCAAACGTGCAGACCACTCGGCCACCGGCCGACGACCTGGTGTTAGTGAAACAAAACGTGCCGACAGTGGACAGTCTATCCATAACTTGTTAACACGTTTGGAGCGTGGGCTGAGCATTTTGAAAAGCAATTTAATCGACCGGAATTGTTAGATCCCTCACCGGCCAGTGATCGCCCTACTCCCTCGGCTGTCACTTTGGTTCCGCCATCTCGCTCAGAAGTCGAACGTGAGATCGCACTGTTAAAGTTAAATAAAGCCGCGCGACCAGATGATCTTTCACCAACTCTCTTCGAATTCGGAGGAGCTGCTCTTGTGGATGATTTACACGAATCACTATTGAAACTGTGGGAGCAGGAAACTGTCCCAACCGATTGGATCCGCTCTGTTACTGTTTCGATCTTCAAAGGAGGCTCGTGTTCGGAATGCGGCAATAATAGAGGAATCAGTCTGATCTTCAGCGCCTTCCAACTGCTTGCCTCTGTCATCTTTCACAGACTGATTGGCACTCGTGAAAGCCAGATTCGTGAAGAGCAAGCCGGGTTTCGTCATGGTCGGGGATGCATCGACCACATCCTCACATTGCTTTAGTTGCTGGAGCACCGTCATATATATTGACGACCCACCGTTGTCGTGTTCCACAACATCAAAGATGCCTTGGATTCAGTGAATCAACGTACCTTTTAGGACTATCTGCTAAGGAAATGTGTGCCCGTGAAGTAAGTAAATATTATGCGTACGCTTTACACGCGTAGCACGGGCAGAGTGAGAGGTTACGGCAAGCTGTCGCCGCCCTACAATATTTCCGGCGGTGTAAGACAGGAATGCCCGCTGTCACCTTTCCTCTTCAACTTTGCTATTGATTAAGTCATGAAGATCGCGTTCACAGGACACGGCTTAGAAGGTGTGGAGCTGCTCCCAGGAGAATGACTTCTTGATTTAGAGTATGCTGATGATATTGCCCTGATCTGTGACAGCTCACAAACGTGCCATGTGGCACTGGACAGATTAGCACTGGCTATCACCCGTTTCGGGTTATGCTTTGCTCCCTCCAGGTGCAAAACTTTCCTTCAAGATTGGAAGGGACCACCTCCTGCGCTGAGCCTTGATAATAATACGTATATTTCCCGATTGTACGAGAACCTGTCCCTGGATTGTGGATAGATCATGGTTACAATAATTATCATGCTCGTGCATGAGTGAGATATGTAAAATGGGATGTATGATATCAAAATAATTTGGAATCACATAGCATTTGTTGCTGCTGAGTTCTTTGTACCATCTTTAGTTATTGATTATCTATTTCTTGGTCCATTCTGAAGAAACTTGTGTGGCGATTTACCCGATGGAAACATGGTCATTAGCAAGTTCTGGTCAAGATATTTGCTAAGCTGAATGTGGAATGCTCTTGCATTTGTGCAAGACCTGCTTGTGGCTGCTAGGCTATTCCACACGACAGCGTATCTGACGAGGAAGAAGTTTGATCGGATAGCTGTCCTGGTTCTCGGCAAATAGTGTACAGTTCTTGTTGAGTATATTCTGAATGAAGTTATGTTGAATTTTAAGTGTACACCGATTGGAGTACGTTTTTTGGTTTATGAGATTGGTTATCAGCATCTGGTTATGTTTCAGTCGTCGCAACCAAAGGGATTCGAGGTTAAGCTGCTGGCAGTGCTCCTGATAATAAGATGGTTTATTTGCTGAACAAGCGCTTAGTGAATGATCTTTGCACGTTTTCCAAAGCTTCCCTGTCACCCATTCGCATGTTCCCATAGATGATGCTGCAGTATTCAAAGACAGGAAGTGTAAGTATTTTGAAAAGTTCGAGTCTGGCAGGTGTTGCATAGATTTTATGACATATGTTAGCCACAGACCTCTTGGAACGTCTATTTGATACTCAGCTTGCTGTGAGAAATTAAAGTTTGAAGAGTATCGTATGCCTAGATCACAGTTGGATAGTTTCACACAGATACATTCGTTGTTCAGTTTAACAGACTCTTCAGGGATCAAACCTCCGTGTGACATAATGCATGCTTTATTAGTTGAGAAATTTAGCATCCATGTGTTGCACCATTTCTCAAGTGAATCGAGGTCTTGTTGAACGAACAGCATTGCGCTATTGACTTCGTCCCATCGAAAGTTATAAACAATCTCTATGCCATCGGCGAACAAAAATGGTCTGTCACGTTTTATGAACACCGTGATATCGTTAATATAACGTAGGAATACCGAAGGACCAAGTACACTCCTTTGAATGACACCACTAGTGATTGGACGTGGGGAGGAGTTATGATTACCCAGAGTGACTATCTGATAACGCCTATTTAGGTATGATGTCAACCCACCAAATAGTGGGTCTCTGATTCCAAACGACTCGATTCTTTTCAGTAGCCGCTTGTGGGGCACTCAGTTGAATGCTTTCTGCATATCCAAGAACAGTATTATAACTGCATATTTCGAATCAGTGGTTTCTACGATGTAATCCAGGTAGTGCAACTGACACGTTGTACAGGAACGTTTGTGGAGGAACCCATGCACGATGGATAAAGTCCATGAATTCCACTTTTAACTAACTTTTCGAATAATCTAACGATGGGGAGCATGATGGATAAATCGATAATTAGTGACGTTCTGTTTTGGCCGCCTTTATAACGAGGGACAATAAACGATGTTTTACACTGATCCGGACAAGGTGAACAAGTTTAGCAAAAGTAGTGGTATGTCAGGTCCACCAAGTTTGATAACTGATGGAGGGATGCCATCGGAGTCTGGTTTGAGCGATGGTTTGATGGACTTCGTAGCCTGTTGGATGGTCGAAAGAGAAATCTTGACATTATCTATGCCGCTTGTTGTAAGTTCCGGGCACCAAGGTATAAGTTCGGTTTCTACGTTCATGGAAGCAGCGAAAAAAGTTCTAAACGCTTCACAAATAGCAGGTGGGTGGTTAAGACGGCGATCCTCCTCATCAATAAATTCTGTAATCAAAGACATTCGATTGTTAGTCCTACGACGGAGTACTTTGGCCGGTTTCTTTCCTTTGCATGTCATCTGCAAGGCGTTCTCCTCCTATTTTGTAATCCGTTTCCTTTGTGAGCGCTTGATGCAGGCGATGGATTCGTGCAGCTCTAATACTAGTGAGAAGTCTCTAGTTTTTCTGAATTTCCCGAGTAGTTTTCTCATGTCCAAGTCACTCAGTGTGTTACATGCTTAAAACAAGGAAGGGCACGTTTATTATGCGGCACATGTACAGTTAGGATGTGATTGATCTGGTAGTAGAAATGTTCAACTTCAATGTGCGCGCTAGTGGAGAGAAAAAAGCCATCCCAATTAGAGGACCGTATCTCCTTCCCGAAATGCTCCCAGTCAATTTTTCGTATAGTATGCTAGTTAGGTGAGTCGAGTTTGGTATTCATTTTCAGGTGGATGAAAAGGCGTAGCATGTTGTGGTCACTACCCGAAAGGTTGTCTAAGATGTCAATTTGTGCGTCAGGACTCCCCAGGGTGAAGAATAAATCCAGTATGTTGGCAGACCTATTTGGTCTGGCAATCCAATGAGCCCAACCCCCAACTCTGATAGTCGATAAGAAAGATCCGTGCAATGAGGAGGATGTTTGTGGTGACCAAGTAATATTCGGTACATTGAAATAGCCAACGATTATCTTTAGACCGTGTAGTAACACCGATGCGAAATCAAAAGCCGAGGAGATAATTGCGATATCCTTGGCTGTCGCTTTCGGAGTGTTGTAGATGCAACCGAGAAGTATTGTAGAGGAGGCTGCAGCGACTGATAGCCATCGAGATTATGGGAGATTGTTTAACTTTGGGTCATCAATGAACTTCGCTCTGAAGTTCCGATGGAGATATACGATGCACCCGCC